TATATATATATATATATATAGATAAAAAAATTACTCATTTATTTTGATTTGGATAATAAATGATACTATAGTAATTTAATTTAATTTTAAATGAAAATAAAATATTTTTTTTCTCTTATTAACTTCATTCTCTAAGTCATTTATCTCTTTTATTAAATTCCTTCTCCAATTCATTTCTCTTTCGTATTAAATTTTTTCTCTAATTTATTTATCTATCTCCTATTAAATTCTCTCTTTAACTCATTTCTCTCTCATCTCTCATAATGTCTCCTCCCTCTCTCTCTGAACAAATAAAAATTAATTAATATGAAAAATAAATAAATTGGATAATGAAATTAATAAAAGAGAGAAAATATTTTATTTTTATTTAAAATTAAATTAATTTACTATAATATCCTTTGTACGAATTAATCAAATCAAAATAAATAAATGATTTTTTTATCTTAAAATTTTAGTGTAGATTGCTAACATACTCCCACTAATATATATATATATATAATTTAAAAAAAATAAAAACAATAAAAGTTAAATAATAATGGATGATATGTAGTTGGAGAGTATAAATGATTTGAAATGAATATAAGGGGTGAAATAAGGAAAGAAAATGTGTCCATAAAAATTATATATATTCTCTTAGATAATATGAATGTCTCTTATCCATGGTAACAGTAATTGGAAAAAAGTTATCCATTTTGATGTCGGAGTTTTTTTTTTTTTTTTTTTTTTAAGTTTTGCATGTAACCATGATATATATTTATAAGAGTCAACTATTTATCCATATATATTAAAGACGAGAGAAGTCGTGTTTATCCATGTATATGATTCATTCATTTTAATTAAAGATTAAAAGCGACGTATAAATTGTCAGTGAAAAATTATTTTTCACGCTATATTCTTTTTGGACAGCTAGCTAAGTAGGACATTCTTAATGCATTTGCTTGCAATTAAAAGTAAAGTAATGGATATGCCTGCAGAAAAAACGATAAAAAGAGGGTACTTTGATTCATGGAGACTCACTTGTGTTGTGTGACTAAAGAGGACGAGATGCTTTAAATTATAATAATTAATTACGTCTTATGAATTCGCATATGCGGCATATACGTTTATATAATATACCTACGAATCACAATCAAAAGTAGGGCACGGATTCGAGCTGTCAATTATTAAAGTCACATGTTAACTGTATTTTTTATTTGTTGGTTGAGGAAAACGAATTCAAGTTGCTATATAGCTAGCTACCGCAATAAAATACCAAACAACATAGGTGTGATAATCATGCATGATATACAACCATTGTCAAGAAAAATATGTGATTCGTATCGTTAGTTATCATACATGACCAAGTAACGTAACCGTGTAAAGAGTTCATAATAATTTACGCAACTAAATTTAATCTACTTGGCTTAGCGATGTATATGTATAATTGAACGTTGGATGTATTTTTAATTAGTTTACTTTCAATAAATGAAAGTTTAAAGTAAAGAATGTTGTCATATATCAAAATTATAGTAACATGTTATTTGTAATCATCCAGCATAGTATTATATACTTAAACATATATACAATTCTACAACACAGGTACTATTGTGACAAAATATTCTCTAATTGACGGTGAAACATCCATATAATGACTATGCTACATTAGTGTAGCATTAACAAAACGAGTCATCACTAGCATGGTTCCCCACCAACTAGCCAAACAAACATGTTAATCCTATTTTATTCATATACCAAATATGAATATTGCAGTTTTAACTACAAGAAAAAAAATAATAAAAAAAGATAAGTTAATGAAAAAAAATCAACACATATCACTAGAGTAAAATTGACAATATAAGTTATTTTAAATAATACAACTATCTCACAACCACAACTTTAGCTATCAACAACTACAACACATACAACTTTTAACACAACATATTATTAGCTTCAACATATCAACATTCTAAATATGAACAATAATAATTAAACTAATGTATTGTCACACATATCAACTACGACAGAAGTGAACACTTTAAGTGACTAAATCCTACTAAACTGTAGTGTCTGACCTATCATAACCAAGTTAAGTATAAACAATGCTTGGTCTCATAGAGAGCTAGATAATTTAAATTATTGATTTCTCAGGTTTCACCACTTAAAATAGAAAGTCTAGTATTCTTGTTAAGGTTAAACAACTTAGGTATGAGCCTATTATGACATTAGTTTGCAACATTAAGCCTCGTAAGGGATTAGCTCACTAACTACCTTCCAAATATTATGCTATTCTGAAACTGAATTTGGGAATGAGTCTCAAACCTTGTACCTTACTCAGTTGATCACTTTATATATACATTTATGACTCGACCTAGCCCCTATACGGATTCCACATAAAACATAGATGAGATAATTTAAAACAACTACTCATTTAAAAACCAACTTACTTATTGAAGGGTTCCAACTTGGACTTACAAAACATCATAATTTATATCCACACAAAGGGATATTCACATGTATCTTCACTACATATCTAACAACTTAACAATTATAGCATCATACAAATTTACAACTTCATTAACTATCAACATATAACTTGCAACTTGGCAATATAAACATTATTATACATTATATCAACTTAAGCATAATGAGTTATCATTGTACAACATTCATCATACAACTTTACAACTTCATTAACTATCAACATATAACTTGTAACTTGGCAATATAAACATTATTATACATTATATCAACTTAAGCATAATAAGTTATCATTGTACAACATTCATCATACAACTCAATCATCATTCTTCAATTGTTGATCAACTTTGAACATTAGATTTTCATCAAACAACTCATGCCTGACATCATTCTCAGTGTGTCCAACGCTATTGAGACAGGATTTTTTGTCTTGTCCACATCTGACGCCAATCTCCATGCATCGAGTGTGGATAAGATAGAGAGCCTCTCAATCTCTCACACCAAGCATGTAAAAATCCATGGCTGGCCAACCTTTGCTTGATTCATGTTTAACACCAATCTAAGCAAAGACAATTTTATCTCCTCACACTTGACGCCATTCAAACTCACGCATGACGTGATCAAGTTAGAGACAATCCTTTCTTCGCACGTCCAATGCCACCAATCCTATGCCCAATGTAATGGGATTGAGAACCCCAAACTTGAGCTATGTCTAGTGCCATGAAGGCACACCCAATGTGATGATGAGATTTTCAGTTGACAAAACTTGTTTTGCTCCAAATCACCTGAAACTCAAAAACCCACCAATATGTAATGTAGTCCCAAACACATATGCATCATCTATACTCCATTTCTAACCTAAAATACAACATGCATTCATTATAGAGTAAGAATCAACAAGTTCTATCCAAACACCTCAAAGGAAACCCAAAACACAAACAACTTATCTTTTCCTTCTCATCCATTCAAAATAGTCAACAACTAGATGAATTCAACAACAATAACCAGTAAGATACAAAAATGATCAAATACAAAGTTTCCATTACCTCCAACCGCTTAGAAACTAATGGAAGAGAAAGAAACTCAAAGTCTTTGGAACTATTGTATGACTTCCACTAAACTCAAATTCTCAACAAAGTTTTGAATTCTCAACTCCTTCACCTTGGATCAACTTTAGGGAAGGATTAAAGAAATGTTTTCCATAGAAAGAGGGAAAAGAAACATTCAAGTTTCAAAAAAACTTTTTTCTAACTTCTCACTAGAATTTCTTAAAACATAAACTTAACAAATTCATGTCTTAAAAGAAATCTTATATATACTTTTTTAAATTAAACTAACTTAACTATAATTTAACTATCTTAGGGATAATTTAACTTCCAAGAGCCTATTAATTTTCAAAATTCTAAAAATATTTAATTATATATCACACACGTAATTAAATTAAACACTCAAAATAAATCGTGTTACATTATAAACTCTTAAAGACTTATAAATAATATAACAAAGAGTGGTTATATATTAGTAAGAATAAATTAAAAATGTTGTGGTTGACATTACTATTTCTAAACTACAATATATTGTTGTTTTACCGCTATTATAATCCCCTCACTTGTAAGTTCAATTGAAAATTATTGCTCGAATTTCGATGTCTCGATTTTATAAGACTTTTCTGGAAAAATAATTTGAGATCACAACAGAGTAGAATATTATAGTGAATAGTGAATTTATTACAAATGTGCTCAAATGTTTTTTATTTTATTTTTTTTGACTTGTTCTCTGTTTTTAAAAAGACGTACAAAAGCGTGATATATATTAAAAAGTGAAAGCCATGAATAAAAATCAACACTTGCATTTTCCTTGCACAGTACAGCTAAACCCCATAATCTATGGCAGTGGATCCAGGCCCGGAAGTTACGATGAGCATTATTAATTCTAAAACTTTACTCCCTCTCAAGTTTTCCTTTGTTAAAAAAAATGTCTCATTTTAATTATTATTTTAGAATATTAATCGAACATTATATATACATTTATATTTCACCTCACCTTTATAAGAAATGTTAATTTTAAAGAATGTTTTAAACATTTTAAATAGTTGTTAATTTAAGTATTGAAGTATTTTTAGCGGTACGACCATTCATCTGACATGTGGATCAGCGAAGAGATTGAATGAGCACGTACAAGTATAAAAAAAAGAATTAAAATGAAATACATATATTATGAAAAAAAAAAAGAAATAAAAAAGAGGAAAAGGCAAGGAAAGGAAGAAAAGAAAAAGAGAGGAGTGGATTATGTGGCATTTGAGAGGAGAAATGATATCCATTATCCAGTGAGTCCTGAACTGGCAGTGGATGGAAGCCAAGTGGATCATAAGGAGGCCTCACACGTGTCCCTTGCCCTCGTTCCTCGAGGCTCGAGCCAACTCAGGTGAGTGGAACCCCGCTACGCGACAACTCCTAACCCCCAATCCACTTTTCCCACCCCGGGCTACAATCGTAAATTCACACTCTCTCCCTCTAAATCTTTAAGTCTTATCCAAGCGCACAACCTTTATAAAAACCACAGTACCAACAACAGGGCTTTCGGAAAGGAACTTCAATGTTCAAACACCACAACTAAATTTTCTTTATCGCATGGCCACCAACATTCCTAGACCACCCTATCGCTTTCTCCCTCCCATGGATGCAGATTCCATCTCCGATTCCACCTTCGAATTCCACGAATCCGATCTCTACGCCTCCTCCGCCACCGCTAACTCTCCCGAATTCTGCAAATCCGTTCGGGCCTCCAGGTTCCGCGGCAGATCCTCCTCCTCCTCCTCCTCCTCCTCCTCCGCCGCCGCACGCGCCTCTGCTCCGGCCTCGCTTCCGGTGAACGTGCCGGACTGGTCCAAGATTCTCGGCGACGAGTACGGACAGAGCCGGAGGAGGAACCGCGACGAGGAGGAGGCGCAGAGCGAGGAGGAGGAGGAGGAGGGATGCGGGAGAGTGCCTCCGCACGAGTTTCTGGCGAAGACGAGAATAGCGTCGTTCTCGGTGCACGAAGGAGTTGGGAGGACGCTGAAAGGACGCGATCTGAGTAGGGTGCGAAACGCGATTTGGGCGAAAACGGGATTCCAGGACTAGAACCTCACCCTAGGACTATAAGTTGAATACTACTAAAGTAATGAATTACAATGAGTTTTGTTGACAGGTTTTTGAAGAGTTTTATCTTCTGTTTTAGGATCATCATCTATATTGTATCAGATCGGAATTTGAGATTTTAATTTTCATCGGGAGTTTTTTTTTTTTTTTTTTTTTTTTTTGTGGGTGGTGTTGTGTTCGTTCGTTTGT